CAGTAGAGTTGGGAATGATGGGCGGTATTTGGCCTGGCTGATCTCTGTGTGCCTCCCCCCAGTAGAGTGAAGGCTCTTCCAGGATCAGTCAGGGTCTACAGATGGGGCAAAGCTGGTCCTCTTGGGTCTCCACAAATCACGGACCCCATTGAAGTCACAAATTCAGTCAATTCCTGACCTGTCCGGGTCCGGGGAGGCCGCGGTTGCTTGGATTTCATAGCCGTGTGACTCCGTGCACATCACTGATTGGGTCAGAGCACCACAAATGTCCATGTCAGCAGGTTAGGACTTCCTGGACCAGTCCAAGGTGGAGAGATTCTTCTTCCTTACGGAGGGTTCAGAGCTGAGGCCTGGAATGTCCCCGGGAACCAGCCGGCCCTTCATATCCGCTATGGAGAGACTGGTGGAGGACGATTCCAATGGAGGACACAGAACTACAAAAAAATGTTTGGGGCTGAAGTTCTCCTTTATGGAAATTGAAACCCAATGTTGTCATTCAGGATCAGAACCATCATAGAATTCCTCTCAGAGAGCAGATCACCGGATCCGGCAGGATGTGGCCACGGTGGATGATGGTCAGGACATCTGCTGGCACCATCAGACCTCAGAAGGCTCCGTCTGTACCCCATTGTTCCCATAGGCATAGAGGCCTGTAGCGGCACAGTTGTCTGAAGGCCCAAAGGCCCAGAGGCCTGACCCAATGTCCCCGATCCCACCGGAGTCATCATATCTCTGATCACATCGTGACCCAGAGAAGATCATTCCGGGAATGGCCAACTACCTGCTGAGACCTGTATGGAGAGTCATTGGTCACTCACTGACCCGGGTCTGGAGATCTGGAGAGGCGACTTCACTGGCTGCATGCTTGTTCTGGGCCTGCGAAGTATTGAAGCTTGAGTCACTACACCTAAACAAGCATGCAGCAGTGAAGTCCTAACTCCTGATCGCAATACTTGTTGCAGGCCTCAGGTTTCTTGCAGACTCAAGCGTTGTAAACCCCCGAGGATCATCATGACACGATGATCAGGGTGGGCCCTGTATTGGTCTCAGTCCGCCAGATGGGGGGGGGGGGGCGGGTTG